AGGATAAAAAAAAAAAATATATATATATATATATAAAATCAATATCAACGTGTCATACGGCAGATGAATATAGTTTAGATATAAAGTGCAAAGGAACCTGGTTGGTCGTAGTAAGGCTCTTGAGGTCTATCAGAAGGACCACCCATTTTTCCAGGTCGATGTGTCCCAGGAAGTCCTTGTTGTCCCATTTGCGATCCATATCGATGTTGGACGCCATGATGCAGTGGCAATCCTTTACCTTTACGCGACGGATCATCTTCCTCGCTGTAGTTTGCCTCGCTTGCCGAATCTTTGGTGATCTCTGGAACTCCTGAAGCGTGCGAAAACAGCAAAACTTCAAAGGTAACAAGCTGTCTGTCATTTCGAACGAGTTGAAATAATATTTCTCATGAACGTTGTGAACGCTTACCCATTTGGGGCATACTTTGTCCAGGATAGATCTCCTTGTCGGACAGATTCTCTTCAGTCTCGATGATAATTTGGCCGTGAGAGTCGACTCTGGTATTGCCGTGTTTTCTTATGTGAGATGGTACAGGGGTCGATGGATATCTCTGGCCTACACCTGCCATACGATGCCTGTTGAGATCGTCGAGTTGCCCGGTGACGGAGGGCTGCGGTTGCCCCTGATCTTGCATGTGCGTGGACGAGCCGTGTTGCAAATGAGCCGCTGTCCCACTGCGGAGGACGCTACAAGGAATGGCAGTGGCACAGCTATCGCCCGACTGGCTCTCCCTGCTTTTCGTCCTCACTGTGATATGCTTCGGATTCAGACCCATCAGCTTATGTATGTCCACCAGAGCGTGGTCACCGGTGGGGCTGTCTACGTCGGTGACCTTCTTCCCATCGGCATACACCGCGTAACCGGTGACGGCCGAACCGTTTAGGGCAACAGGCTGCCAGGTCACTAGCAAAGTGCCGTCCTGCGGTCCAGCCTCCACCTATCGCATGAACAAATCATTCAATGATTAATCACTGTGGACGATCAATCGTGGCACGAGTCCGCGTATAACATGAATATTATATAAACGACTGTTAACCTGGATATCGACCGGAGGATCGGGCAATCCTTTGGGCAACGTTTTGAAATGGACGTGGCATGCTAAATTGTTGGCCGCTTGGGTGTTTTGGTCCTCGAAGTGCGTCGCTCTTAAATTCTTCGCTTTGACGGTCACTCTGTAAATCGTCGACGGTGCTAAACCGGTGATCGTGTGTCTGTAAACACCAGGCTTCACTGTCCTAACTTCCACGTTATTCACGCAAACGACGTGCTGATGGTTACTATTGCTCGGCATCCAAGATATCGCGGCACTGGTGGCGGTCACGTTCGATGCCTTGACAGCGGTCGGTCCCAAGGTGACGTCCTTACCGATCACCATCGTGCAAGCGGCATCGCGTGACGTTCTCCTCGAGTGTGTCACCGACCGTACGCTTATTCTGTGCGGCTACATTCATCAAACCAAATCAGAATATATTCTTACACACAGTTTTTACTTTTTTACTACAGGGGCAGGGTTTTACTTTGCAAAAGATCTGCTAGACTCTACTACTTTACATTCTATCACGTGTGGGAACTTTTTGTCGACCTTTGGTCTCTGTGGAATTTCAACTGGTATTTAAAATTGATGACAAATGAGAGATTCATTTCTACGAACCCTGGTGGAGTCAACACCCTCGACCAATGCCCTGGTCCGCTCGGTTGCTTTCACAGTCACTTTCAACACTCCATCTACGTAGACGTGATACGACTCCAGCTGGTGAGTGTTATCTGGCGCTGTCCAACCGATTAAGACGCTCTTGTTCAGTTGCCGCTCAAGAGTGAGATGCTGCGGCGCCGGAACTAGGTCCGAAAACAGGTAGACTTCTTCAGGAAAAAAAAGACAAGACAAGCCTAGCTGTAGCTAAAAATCTTTCACTATCTAATTCTCTAAACCAGCCTAAGACCATCCAATACCATCAACACAGTGCAAGATACTCCGTTTATTTCTCGTTCACCAATTATCATTTATTACACTTCGGTTTCTCCATACTGCTACGATGAACCAACAACATGCAATTTCTTCCTACTTTCTCCAATAAACGATAAACAAAGGAAATCGGTATATACTACAGCAAATGTCTTGAGCAACAAGCATAGTCTTGCGTGTGTATACATGTACCTTGATGGATCAAACAGAACGTTGCTGGAAAGACAGTATACACATTCTACGCAGATTTGGAAGAGTTGTGCAAGAGGCAGATACATTGAAACAAAGGAACTCAATATTATACAATGTCATCATGAGTTGTATGTCAGTCACAACATATTGAATCCTCATGAATTGAAATCCACATGAAACGTTCAATTGGAAATAATTTCACTCAGACGTCCACATAAGCGTACAGGGTTTCTTCACAAATATCTCTAACATTTCATACTGCAAATTCATTGAGGAATAATAACATCAATCTAACGTTCTATCACCTAAGTTCAATTACAATACAGCTATGTACACACCAACATACATCCGTGAGAAACGGATGACACATGTTCAATCAAGTTTGTGCATTTATCTCATCGCAATCGCAACGGTACATGCTTGGTCAACGATGAGGTTGATGCGAAAATGTACTAACCTGGTGGCTCTTGTTCGTCTTCCTCCGCAATGTTATCGAGCTCCGCGTACGCGGACAGTTCAGCTTGACGATTACGATTCCCCTCCTCGAGAGCGGCCAACTCCAGGTCGATATCCTGGAAGTAACACTGGAAAGGAAAAGACGCCCTCCGTTAGCAGTGTCTCGCGAAGGAGACGCGTCAAAGGTTTGCCGTACATAATCTTACATTGCTCACTTGGGGGATATTAGTCGAAACAGAGTCGTCGACATCTCTGAGGCCGAGAACAGCTTGGTGAAATTCAAGCAGGTCGTCGCCGACCAATTTCTGAACGAAATTAGCTGGGACGAGGCCGCGTCTACCGTCGAGCGTTTCCGCGTCGAGGAAACCATCATCGTCAGTTTGCCCCCAAACGAGAAGGTAATCGCCACCCTGAACAGGCAGCTCCGCTTCCGGGTTCTCGTTTGGCGAATGCTGGAACGGCTCGTACGTGAAACGAGCGATGTAAACGTAACATCTGCCTTTGCCGGGTATATCCAGCATGTCCACTTGACCCTCGGTCACGATATTGTCATTGGTCAGCCGATCCAGGGGATTAGAAAGTATACTACTCGGTATCTTTGGCATCTGTCTCGAACCAAGGAAATGATGGCCCGTCGTGGCAGGTGCTGTTGGCGAACTAGCGCGTAAACTTTGCTGAATCTGTTGGATGATGGCTTGCTGTTGAAGGTGATTCGCTTGTGATTGCACGGATAGTTGTTGCATTGCTTGGAGAGGATCGCTTATTGCTTGTAACAAGCCTGTCGATGTAGTTCCTATGTAAAA